AGCCAGGATCACATTTTGAAAGCACAGATCAGACTTCCAATCTCAGTCTGTATTCTAACTAGTTTGTGATTCTAGGCAGATCACAAACCCCTTGGGCCCTTCCCCTTCTGTGGTCCTATATCCCCACTCTTTGGTAATCCTCGAGTAATCTTCTCCCCTAGAGTACAGAATGGAATTAGTGACTCCATTAAAAAAAAATAATGCAATGTAATAATCTTCAAGATTCTGTTATAAAATGACATCAGACTGTGAAAATGTCACTGAATTTATGAAAAATACCATGAATGGGTTTGGCAGGAGATCTCAGCAGCAGGTATTCCAAGTGAGAGGAGATAACCTGTTCAGCAGGGCCATGGCTGTGTCCACAGTGTCTCCTGCCCTCTAAACACTGAGTCTGCTTTACCCTTGAAAATATGAATAAGGTCCTTAATATGGTCAAAGAGAGTCTGTGTCAGATTAGTTAAAAATGATTATAAGTTTTGTGGAAGAGAGAGAAGGTTATGATTTTAATGAATTGGCATTCTGCCATCAAACATTCCTCACTCTATCGTATTTTCATCGCTGCCCATCCATCGGAAAGCAGAGTCTTAACCTTGGCTCTGCAAATATTTTAGATCTTTAGCCCAGCACCTGAGAGAGAAGAGGTGTCAAATACTGCGCAAGTCAATTTGAGAGGCAAGGTCACAGGTTTGAGAATATATTTGAAATTGGGAGACTCCAGAGCTATTCAGATGTGAGGTCATGAACCAGGCCCTTTATAGTAATTGTCTTTTCTAATGCATTCATCAGCCAGGACAAACCTAATCCCAGAATTTTCCAGAATCACCATTCTGCTTAGCCTTCTCTTGCTTAATCTGGCTTTTCTAACAGTTGTGAAACCTCATTTTCTTTTTCTAGGTTTTAGGGTACACCAGTGAACCTTTGAAGAGCCCACTGGATCTCCAGCCTCAGGTCAGCCCACTGTCACTATGCTCTGGGTCCCAGCACTGTTGTAATCACTGCACCACCCCACTACTCCAGGTGAGAAACAGGCCCTCTTCTCTGATGCTGAAAATCCACACACAAACAACACACACAGACATGTGCACACACACAACAGTGTCACCTCAGGCTCAAACCAGTAGAAAAAAAAACTTGACTGCTTGAGGCATTGAAGGTGTATTGGTACAGATTAGAGGCCTCTCAGCAATCTACATTCCAACCTGCCAATCCTGTTTTGAGATGGGATCCTGACAGGAACACCAGGTACATATTGCCCAACAACCTATTCCTGCCCAGAGAGAGCCCAGTTTTCATGTCCCTCTTCCAGAAGTACGTAAGGAGGAGAGTAAGGCAACTGAATGGGCTCACAATGGTAATGTGGCCTGAGATGGCCATACCTAGGTTGTCTATTGTTATGTTAAGGGAATTTTTGTAAAATGACCAGAGACATCACAAAGAAAATGCAAGCCAATGTTGACAGCATTGGTAATGGCTCCCATAACAATGATTTCCAAAGCAAAAAAAAAACAAAAACAAAAACAAAAACCTGAATTCAGGAATCAGCGTGAAAACCTCTTTCACAATTGAGTGGCTCTCAGCAAGTGAGCAGACTATTGGGGCCGTTACTAGAGTATGTGTGCCTGGTTTCAAAGGTCCCAAGTTCTGTTGATCTCAGTTATCAAGGAAGTGATGTCACTTTCTAGGGTCCCCTTTCCTAAATCACTTCCTGGAATTCAACTATCAAAATAGCCCTCTGGGCTGCTTTGCCACCTTGTTTCTGCAAGATCATATCTTTATGCAGTGACACCAACACCCCTCTCTTCACAGACCAGTGAGAGGGTTTGTTGTAGCCAGTTTCCCAGCATTGAAACTGACCTGTGTTCAGACACAACTCATTATTCTTTTTCTGGATATTGGCTAAGGCATTATGTCTTTCGAAACCTGTTTTCTGTCTTTTAAATGGGGATTATTTTACCATATACTCCCTAGAGATATGAGCAGGTGTAATTGGTTACTATCCATAAAATTTGAGGAGTCCTGTCACCTGTACGTGGTGCCACTATCTTCTGTTGTCTTTCTTTTGCTACCCGCCATGCTTGCTCCTCTTTTTATTCTATCCATAGATCTTCTCATTATCTAGAGACTGTGAGTGAGTGTGAGCCTTTGCTGGTGCTCAAGATCTGGATGCCCAAAAATAAATGAAGACCACCAATGGAAAAATAGACAAAAACATTTTTAACATACAAATTTCTGATTTTTAACACCAAAACTATGGAAGAGGTTAGAGCCTTAATTTGATTTTTCAGATATTACCTTTAACTCTAGAGTCTGCTCCTCATGTAGAGGGCACATTCCCTTCCTCTGGGCACCTCAGTTTCAAAAGAATCCAATGAGAGATGAAACAAAGAACTGCCTAATTATGAGCTCAGCATAAATATGTTGCTGCTGTCTTTCACGCTGGGTGGAGTGTTGGGAGCTGCTCATGACATCTCCATAGCTGTACACAGAATAGCACAGCCTTTTTCAGAGTCCCTTGCAAACCTTTTGTTTAGCCAGGACCTCACTTTGAGAACAGAGACCAATGTCCATACTGGCAATGTGCATTCGGACCAGTCTATGATGCTGGGCTGAGTGTAAACCTCTTGGGGCATTCCCCTTGTCCCCTCATGGGCAGACTCGCTAATCCAAACCTCCTTGTGTGAATATCCTCATGGAATCCTCTCTTTTTCAGTGTAGAATGTATTTAGTGACTCACATGACAATATAATGCAATGTCATCTTCAAGATTTGGTTATTAATAATCATAACACCATGAAAATATCACAAAATCTCTAAAAATGACATGCATATGTTTGGCAGGAGATTTCATAGGCATTCTGTCCAGGTGGGGCATCTGTTTACCACTGTTATGGTATTCTCCACACTGTCTTTTACCCTGTAAATCAGTAAGCACTGATTTAGCTTTATTCAATGAATAAATAAGAATAAGGAAATAAGAATAATATCCTTAATGTTAAAACAGACTATCAGGTCAGAATAATAAAAACTGTTTATGATTGTTGTGGAAAATTGACAAGGTTGTAAGTTTAATGCCCCAGAACCCTACCTACAAACATTCTTTACTCTGTATGGTATTGTCATTGCTGCTCATCCATCAGAAAGCAAAGTCCCAACCTTGGTTCAGCAAATACTTTAGGCCCCCAGCCCAACACTTGAAAGTGAAGATATGTCACAAACTGTACAATGGGTCAGTTGAAGATACACAATCATTACTTTGAGAATATATCTAAATTTGGACATTCCAAAGTGGTTCAGAGGTAAGGCTACAAAGACATTTTCTCCCAGCCCCTTTGCAGCGATTGTCTTCCCGAAGTACCCCTAAGCCAGCACAGAACTTGTCCTAAGGGTTAACAAAAATCCGCATTCTGCTTTGATTTCTCTTGCTTACTTTGTTCTCCCTGACTGTCCTGATATGTCATCATCCCCCATGGGTCTGACAGTACGCCACTGATTTTCTCAAAGAATCCACTAAATGTTCAACCTCTGACCAGCCTGTTCTCATTATGATCTTTCTTTCTGGCTGCATCATGAGTGCTGAGTGACCCACAATGCCAGATAAGAGAGAGGACCTGCTCTCTCTGATGGAGATATCAATGCCCTCACATACAAACATTCACTGCAGTCACCTTAGAACTCCAAAAAGAAGGAAAAAGTCTTGCCAACTTGAGGCCTTCAAAAGTACATTGGTGCAGATAAGAAGGCCCTCAACAATCCCATTTCCATTCTACTAATTCTGTTTAGAGATGTGATCCAGACAGGACCACCAGGTTATGTGTTGCCCAATAACCTGTTCCCACTCAGGAATGGCCCACTCTTCATGACCTCACTTTAGACACATGAAGAAGAGGATATGGGGGCTGCCCCAGAAAGGTTTACATTGCACCATAGCCTTGACTGACCTGACCTAAGTTGCTTGGTGTTACCTCAGGAGACATTTTATGACATGGTCAGAGACATCACAAAGGAAGCAAGCCAATATATGTTGCATCAAGGAATGCTCTCATGGTGTGGCTTTTGAAAGGAACAACCTCACAAATTTGGTAATTAGCCAGAGAAGATCTTCACAATCCATCATCCCTTCCAAGTGAGCTGACTCTGGGGTGTTACTAGAATGTGGGTGCCTGGTTACAAGTATTTCAAGTTCTGTTTGTCTCAGTGATCAATAAAGTGACTTCACTTTCTGGGTTCCCATCTCTGAGTCATTTCCTTGAAGCACCCCTCTCCATGTAGTCTTCTGGGCTGCTGCCTGCTGAGTCACCTTACCCATGCAAGATCATCTTTATACAGTGATAACACAACTTTCCCCACAGTTTTATAAAAAGGACTCTCGCAGTCATTTTTCAGACTTTGAAATAGACCTATATTCAGAATCAACTTTTTTTTCCTAAATCCTGGATAAGCCATTTTGTCTTTCAGAACCTATCTGTTCTGTCTTCACAATGGGCATTATTCTATCATGTACCCTCTAGAGATGTCAGTAAGCTTAAGTAGACACTACCTATAAAATCGGAGGAATGCTGCCACATGTTGGTCATGTTTCCAACATCTGTTTTCTTTTTCTTTTTACCTCCAGTGTATAATCCTCTTCTGATTCTACCCATAGATCTTACATCACGTGTGGGTGTGGGTGTGGGGGGGGTGTGTGTTTGCGTGCACGCGTGCGTGTGCACCTGCTCACATTAGTCAGTACTTACGATCTGGATGCCAGAAATATACAAACCCCACCTAGGGAGTAAATAGCCAAAGTTTCTCAAAACATACAGATTACTGATCTACAGTGCCAAGACTACAGGAGCAGTTGGAGCCTTTGGAGTCTGCTTATCATGTACCTTGTTCTGTCCCTGCCTCTTTGTGGGCTGGTTTCCCAAGCATTTAATAAGGTTAACACTTAGAACAGAATAATTTTGACTCTTCCTTGACACTGCTGGTTGAGGTGGCAGCATCTCCTTTTCGGCACCATGGCTGCCCTCAGATCCCTCATGCAACCCAAGATTGTTGAAAAGAGGACCAAAAATATGAATGAGGTCTTTAATATCCAGCACCAGTCAGACAGATATTTCAAAATTAAGCATAACTGGAAGAAAACTAGATGCATTGACAATAGGGTACGCAAAAGATTCAAGGGCCAGATCTTGATGCCCAACATTGGTTATGGGAGCAACAAGAAAACAAATCAAATGCTTCCCAGTGGCTTTCAAAAGTTCCTGGTTCACAATGTCAAGGAGCCAGAAGTGCTGCTGATGTGCAATAAATCTTACTGTGTTGAGATTGCTCACAATGTCTCCTCAAAGAACCATAAAGCCATGGGGAAAGAGCAGCCCAGCAATCCCAATGCCAGGCTGCACAGCGAAGAAAAGGAAATAACTTGTGTACACATTGTATTTGTGTTAATAAAACCATAAAATTCTGCCCCCCCAAAAAAGAACTGTATAGTCTTGAGCTCAGCATAAATATGTTTCCAGTGGCTGTAACACTGGGTTTGGTGTTGGCAGGTGTGCCTGCTCTCTTCCATGTTCGTACCCAGTTACAGCAACACAGTTGTTTTTAGCCCCTGAGAAAGCCAGAGTTCAGCCAGGACCCCACTTGGAAAGCACAGGCCAGAGTTCCTACCTGGGCCTGCATTCTCACCAGTCTATGATTACGGGAAATTGGAAAGCTTTTGGGGCCTCCCATGGGTCCTTGCAGTTGCTCCCTGTAATCCCTGCTGCTTAGTGGGAACATCCTCAAGAAATCCTCTCCCCTGAGTGCAAAATGGATTCAGTGACTTCAGGAAGAAAAAAAAATGATACAATGAATCTTCATGGTTCTATTATAAAATATCATCAAACTGAAAATGTCACTGAATCTATGAAAAACACCATGAATACATTTGACAAAAGATCTCAGTGGCAGGTATTCCAAGTGGAAAGAGATAACCTGTTCAGCACGGCCAGTGCTGTGTCCACAGTGTCTCCTGCACTCCAAGCACTGAGTCTGCTTTGCCCTTGAAAATATGAATAAGATCTTTAATATCCTCAAAGAATGTCTGGGTCAGATTAGTGCAAAATGATTATAACTTTTGTGGAAGAGAAAGGTTATAATTATAATGACCCAACATTTTGCACACAACATTCTACACACTTTTTAAACAAAATTCACACTCTATTTATATTGCAGTAAACTATACAAAAATTAACTTTCTTCACCAGAAATATTTTCTGTATTATTCCTAGAATACCACAAAACACTTTTTTGTAGATTTTCCACGTGTTGCTTATAAATCAAGACAATACAGTAGATATAGTCACAGAAAAAGAATAAAACAGACAAATCAGTTGTCAGTCCCCATGGCCTCTGATTCTGTCTTAACCATAAACCAGAAGTGTTTGACACATACCTGCTAAAAAGCTTATGAAGATATAAGTTCAACAAAAGAATGTAAACAGCAACAACCAGATGTAGAACAACAATTGCAGATTCTTCCATTCATTCTTTAACTGTAACTTGTTCCTGTAAGATCATCGAATAAAGACAAAAATCTGCACTGAAATCCTTGCTTGGCAAGCTCATATTCCTTTCACTGTCTGGTAATTCCTTTAACTGTCCACTGCAGATTTTTTAATAACATATTTAAAACTCTTGCTATTCAAAGGTTAGTCATGAGCTTCACTGTGAGATTTTATAAAATGTATTCCTTCCTCTCTCACCTCCTCAAAATTTATTTCTTCAAAGAACTGATAACTCAATACCTGATAATTAGATCCACAGTGATAATAAATGCTCTGTCTAAATGACTTAACAAAAACAATTCCAAAGTGCCATTAGCAGAGAACACACAGATGTGTCACATGGCACTTTCAATGCTATCTTCTGGAGGAACAGTTCTCCAAAGACTGAGAATTCAAACAGGGGTCCATTTCAACAGGCAGATTATCAATGGCTAATGTACTCAACATATTCAGTGATTAAGTGGCCTGTAAATACCTTATAGCTTTTCTGTAAGATATTATCAAACTTCTTACAGATTTTTTCAGTATCACATATAAGAGAAAACCTATTTTTAAAGTCTCTCAGGTACTTTCAAATGGTTTCAAATTATCTGTAGGAAGCTCTGACTTAGTTGTATAGAGTTTGATATATGTGTCCATTATTAAATCCAAGTCATGTTTTATGTCAAAAGCTAAATTACTTGACCTTTGCTCTGTCAAAGTGTTCCTCGGGTATGCTTTGAGATGCTTTCACCCACTTCATAGCGTGCATTCTCAATCTTCAGCACAAGAACACATAGGACCTTCAGCAATACATAAAAATTGGGGGAAAACTTGATGTCTGGCAGGTGGAGGGCTTCAAAAATGGTGGATGGAAGCTCTATGTCTTTCCCTCTGTGATTCCGCCTGATTCTCCAACAATGCAGCTCAGGCTGACAAAGCGTCAGGTAGGTCACTTCTGTACATGTCAGTATGGTGCTCCTCTGATGTTTTGAATTTGAGCTCTTCCATGACAAAGAGTAAGAGAAATCAGCATTTAAGAGCTGAGAATATATCTTTCAGTTTCTGAATAATGTGTTCCACTGTTGGAACACTTAGAGCTTTTTTATAGTAACTCTCAGAAGTTAGTTGAGATTCCAGGTTCCCTTGCTGAGCTCTGCGGAATTCCCCAAGAAGATCTGAATATCAAGTTCAGTTGCCACAACATTCTACATTCTGTCCCACCATCAAAGGCCAACATGAGCACCTGAAGTGAGAGTTTGTTAGTATCTTTTTAAGGAAACACCTTGTGTTTCAACAGCCTTCTGCCTCACTTGGACCAATGAAATCCCTGCTGATTTCACAGCCACATGTTCTGGGCTGAGGATCCCAGGATAGGACTGAGACCTCTTGCTTATCAAGGAGGACCTTGCAGCTGAGATATTCCTTTCGATTCTCAACCACCACACACAGGTGCATGGCCACCCTGTTTTACATTCTCTCCTCTCCTGCCAGTCTTGACTTAGTTTTTCTTTGTATTCTTAGTTATACAAATTCTGTTCCGCTAGTCTTCAGATAAGTATCAGGTTAACTGTCCTATAATTTAGTTTTAATTCTTATGTGGTCATGGAAAGAGGTGTGTGCAGCTCCTACCTACTCCACCATCTTACTTGTAAACTGAGTTTGAGTTTGTAAGGAATTGCAATGCTGTTTCCTAGAGCAGCTGAACAATTTTACTTTCCTTTATTGGTCAGAATAATATTTCAATTTATGAATCAACTTCATTTTGTTTATCCACTCACCCACTGATAGGTATTTGAATTGTTTCTACCTTTTGGCTATTATGAATAGTGCTGCTGTTAATATTCATGTACAAGTTTGTGTTGGAAAAACCTGTTTTAATTCTTTGCAATATGTGTCTATGAGTGGACTTATTGCTCCATATGGTAATTGTCCTTTAATTTTTTTTTTTACCAAATGTCAAACTATTGTACACATAGGATACATCATTTGACATTTCCACCAAAAAGAGTTTAAGGATTCTGATTTTTCTACGTCATTGCCAACATTTGTTATTTTTAGATTTCTTCATTAGAGTCATTCTACTGTTGGTGAAGAAGTATTCCATAGTAGTTTTAATTTGTATTTCCATCATGACTAATGATGTTTAACATCTTTTCTTGTGTTTGTAGACCACTTGTATGTCTTTTCTGAGAACAGATTTATAGAATTCCTTTATCCATTTTAAAATTTGGGTTTTCTGTCTTTTTGTTGATGAGCTTAACTATTTTTTCTGTATTTTGGATAACAGACTCTTATCAGATATATAATGCTCAAATATTTTCTTCCATTCTGTAAGCTGTCTTTTCCCTTACTGGAGAGCTTCTTTCAATGCACAAAAGTTTTTAATTTTAAAGACATTCAATTTATCTTTTTTTGCTTCATTTTTGCATATCTAAAAAACCATCACTAAATCTAGGGTTTCGCAAGTACCTTCAATTTACAGTTCCCACACTCCACTCAGAAGTTTTTCTCCAAAGGCCATCTTTTTTTCAATTAGTCCAGAGGTTTAGTGTTCTCGTCAGAAAAGAGGACACATCCATATTGAGGAGGGCATTACACTGACTATACTGTGCACACTATCTGCTGTGAATTCTAGTATGATTGTATCATTTCCAACTAGAATGCAAGCTCTGAAGCACAGGGTTGTTGTCTGTTCTGTGCACCAAATTATGATTTGCACCTAGAAACATTCCTGCACCTAGTGGGGCTTCCTCTGTATTTGCTGAATGAGGGCGCCCCCACCAGCCCCGTGACAGAGAACTGAGGGAGCAGGGATCTCACTGCTCACCACTTGGCCTTTCTTCCCTGGTCCACCCAGGGCAAAAACCGCTACTAAAATTTCAAAGTATTCATTTTAAATGAGAGCCTCAGAAACAGTGAGGGATGAAGCTTTGTTGCTGGAAAGAAGAAAAAGATAAGTTAATACTTTCACAGCCCCTTTAACAGACCTTTCAACAGAACTAGGCACATAGAAAGCACTTTTTAGGGAAGACCCCACTGAGTCCCTATATAACCCTATAAATAGGGTCCTCCATTCACCCAGTGGTTCAGAAGGGCAAAACTAAGTCTCAGTGAGAAGCAGTGTCATTCTGAAGACTCCTAGTTATCAGTCAGCCAAATCACTATGGTGCTGTGCAGAAACATGAGCTCACCTTTGAAAAAGCAGTTCTGGCAAAATTCTGTAAGTACTCAGAACAGGGGGGCCAAAGTTTGGGTTGCTGACCAGGCACCAGGTGCTTGACCAGCTTCTTCAGCCAGTGAACCTTGGTGACCCACACCACGAAATTGTGCTGCTATAACTACGTTTGGATATGGAGATGGCATGCACGTCTTCCAACACCCTACCCTGTTGTGAAAGCTACTGGGAACACTTTTATGCTGAAATCATATGTATGTATTTATTAATTTAGTCATGCATTAAGACATTTGAGAAACCAAGGCACACAGAGAAGCAGAGAATGGACAGACTACATGACAAGCAAACTCCAGGTATAAGGATGTGTTCCCAACTGCCAGCTTAAGGCTCTGTGCCCTCCTATTAGTTTGGCACTAGAAATCAGAAATTTGAAATGCTCTTGTATATTTCCTCCTAGGTGAAATCTTTTTTTTTCTGGGTGTCCAGATTATGAGCTCCTAAAAACACACAAACACGCACACAAACAAAAATACACAGAAATGCATACACTAGATGTAAAGACTAAGGGCAGAATCAGATCATACACACAAGGTGACAAGAAAAAATAACACAGATTTTAGTGGCACTACCTACATGTGACAAAACTCCTTCAATTTTTTAGGTATTATCTCACAAATGTGTGCAGATGTCCCTAGAGAGTCCCTGCTAGAATAATCTTCATTGTGCAGACAGGAGACAGAAAGATCATGACAGGCAC